ATATACATGATTTATATAAATATAAAAATTTTATTCAAACAATTAGTTTTTAAAAATATTAATTAAAAAATAAGTTTTTACGCATGTCCTTTAAAAAAAATTAGGAGGACAACATACAAAACATTTTTTTCTATATATTTGATCAAAGAATTTATCTATTCTGTGCCCTTATGGCGCAGAATAAGAAATAATTATTAATTGATAATTACTATTTTGTACCCTAAAATAATGAAATTTATTTTTATTTTAATTGTAGAAGCTCTGTGTTAAGTTTTTATTAGTTTACTTTAAATTAAAAAATAATTTTTATTTTTTAATTTAAAATGTCACATTGCAAAAAAAAATACTACAATTATTATTTAATCATTACTTTTTATCTTGTATTGGTACAGAATTGACAAATCCTTGATCAAATTAAACTACTTAATAAGTGTCAGGCATTGAAAAAAAAATCAATTACTATTTATATATTATGTAAAATATAGGTTAAAATTGCTTGTACAACTAGTTATATAAACAAATAAATAGAAATAGAGGATTTAACTAAGAACTTGTTGGTTCGAATAAAAAGAATTTAATTCTTCTTAAATAAGATTTTGATTTGGAGTTTTGTAAATGAAAAATTAGACATTAAGAGAGTTTTACCTTACGTGATGTAGTTCAATTTAACTCCGAATTAATTCAACTCCACCTGACTTTCAAATATTAGGAGATTAGTGAAAAAAAAAAAAAAAAGAGGGAGGAAGAAGAAGAAGAAGAAAAGAGAGAGGATTTAGCCAGGAGTGGCCACTAGTCATATGCGTTTTTTAGTGCATAGTATTAATGCTAATTTATCTCTATCTTTTGGCCTAATAGTTATAGACTGATTTAGTTAATAAGTGCACCCTTGGGGATGCCCAAAAGAGAAACGTAAATACCGCATTTGAGGGGAAATTTCGTTCTTCAAAGAAAAGCTTGCCTTTTCTGGAAAAAGAAAGTTGTTGAGATCTGTTTGTTCAACTGGACAGACTAAACAAACTAATTCAATTAAATCATTCTCCCAAAAATAATAAATCAGAACATGTAACATCGTTACAAATGAAGAAATAAAAACGGAACCATTTTCTCTCTATTGTCATTCCCAAGAATAGTAGAATCAGATCCTCGTTTCTAGCTAGAAATGTGATTGCTTTCTGAGGGATATTGAACGTGGGTTCAAAATCTGCAAAAGCTTTGTACCATGGGATTTGAAGTGACTGATTAAATCTTATGCAAGACAAAATTACTTTAACGATGATACTGCCTCTATAGCACTGCCCAGTGGCCATGCAGCTTCAACAAGGTGATTACCGTATTCCACCTTCTTCACCAATGTAATATCTTGATCTGGATCAAGGCCTGTCCACAAAAGATAACCGAATATAGTCAGAAGATGGGAATCCAAAACCAATTTGTGAAATATAAGTATAGATGCATAACTGGCAAATATATATATATATATATATATATATATATATAAGTATTTTCTTACCAAATCCATCCACAAGCAGGGTATATTGATAAACCAGATCCATGCATAAGTATGGGAGATTATTATCCTCCACAAGTTTGTATACAGCTTTTGCATCTGAAAGCTTAGTTTCACAAGCTTGTTTAGCAGCATCAGCAAATTTCTTCGGTTGAACTTTTGCAATGGGATCACTGGCCTTAACAAAATTAGCCTATATTCATAGACAGTTCACTTAGCATGGTCGTGCAGCTCCAGAAATAAAATTCTAACTTGAGAGCATTTTTTGTAAGCAATAAAATCACAGTTGCAATACCTCAGCAGCCCTGTCAAAGAAAAATGAAGCAACAAACAAATTCGTCTGTCCATCACCACCTCCACCATTCCACACTCCACCAAAAGTGCATTTCATGTGCGTACACGTTTGATTAATTTTGAGAGCATTGAAAGCTAGCCTCCTGCATTCTTCCATGCTTGCACCAGAAGGAGGAGATGATGCTTCAAATTCCTCTCCCCCATATTTGTAAGAACCTAGAATTAAACAGGAAGACTATCAGGAACTTAATTTTGCATTCTTCCAAACAGTAAATTTTATAATTAATCTGTTAACTACTGTCCAGTGGTGATTATTACTTTAGAAAGCCTAATTTATATTCCAAAATGAACTGGTAATTTTAAATATTATATCAAATAGTCAACCAATCACTTTTCATGCTTAATTTTAAAAATTATAAGGTGTCATTAAATTAGGTCAATATAGTGTGCGTTCTTCCATGATTGCACCAGGAGATGGTGTTTAAATTTCTCTTCCCTATATTTGTAAGAACCTAGAACTAAATAGGATAACTCCCAGGAATTGTTAACCATTGATTATGGACCTGTTATCACTTTAGAAAGTGTAATTTCTACCCCAAAATGAACTAGTAATTTTAAAAATTCTATCAATATCACCTATCAATTACTTTTCCATCAGTTTGGCTAAAGAAAATCCATGTCAATCCTTACATAGCACCACATAATTTGCCATGTAAGCAGCATGAAGACATTAAAAGGGAAAACTCTCACCATTGTTATTGATGCTAAACTCTAATCCAAAAATAATAATTATTATAATAATAAAAAACAAGATCACAGATAGTTCACATGGCACTTGTGTAGGAGATTGTGTGATGCCAAGTAAGCACTGACATAGATATCTAACAGAGGTTATGAGCACACCAATATTGATATGATTTTTGAAGTAACAACATCACTTTGAAAAAGAAACTTTCCAGACTAAAATGGGATAAAAAATTGATAGTTAATAGATATATTACTAAATGGCAAAACAAGCAAATAAGGCTCCAAATTTTAACTAAATTAACAATTAAGGTCCCAATGTTTTATTGTGCTCAATTAAGGTCCCAAATTCATCAAAATCCTCAAATAAGGTCCCAATTGAACAGATTTTTAACCTTTCGTTAAATCTCTCTTAAAGCTATTATCAGCCATTTGTCCCATCTTATGTGGCATGCTATGTTTGCAAAAATTTGCTGACGAAATTAGAATTTTAAACTAAAATCCTTTTAATTAATAAACAAAGTAGCTACCATGCTATACTTTTCTCCCCTTAGTATATCCCTTGACTTTTTGAACTTTTTCGTCTCTCAAAAGAACCTATAACTATTAAATTAAAAATAAAACTAAAATTTTATTAAAAAAAAAGACTAGAATTAAAATTAATAGACAGGTAAATACCAAATTTAGTCCCCAACCATTAGCACAAATACCAGATATTGTCCCAACCTTTCATTTACACCGAAATTGATCCCAACTTTTTCAAAATCACCAAGACTAATCCTACTGTTAGCCACTAACGTTAAGTCATCCTTGATAAAAATCCTACTGAAATTTTATAAGATTCACAAGGACCGTTGTTAGGAAAAAGCCCGCTAAATCTCTCAATTTTTTTAACAATGCTTTTCTTTTCTTTTGGCCAACTCCAAATCTCTGTTTCATTTTTTCCTTTTAATTACCACAACCCCTCTTTTAGGAATCAGTCCTAAAAATCTATAAAATTTTGGTATTGGGATATAGAGTTGGCCAAAAATATTTTTAAAAAAATAAAAGGGTTCAGCACTATTAAAAAAATAATTGTTTGGCCTTAGAAAAAAGAAGAATAAAAGATTTGGCAAAGGAAGTGGATCAATTGTAGGATTAAGGTTGGTGATTTAAAAAAGGTTGGGACCATTTTTGGTCTAAATAAAAAGTTGGGATAATATTTGGTATTCATGATAAAGGTTAGGGACTAAATCTAGTATTTACCCTAATTAAAAAGCAAAACTAAAAATGAGAAGGAGAAAAGGAAGGCATATAGAGTAACTAGCTAAACTATTATCTAAAAGGCTCTTCCTCACCTATATGGTCAAAGTTTGAACACTCATTTCTCTTTGCCACCCCTCTCCCCTCATGAGGTTTTCAACTGATTGACCTATCTCATTAAAAAAAAATAAAAAAAAGGGAAAAATATGATACTGCTGCAAGGAAAAAGACAATACTGCTTTGAGTTGCAGGGGCAGCACTCATGCTGCAACTCAATGCATCATCTAGCACTGAATATCAAATACCCTTTCTCAATCTTTTATTTTCCTATATTTCCCTTCCCAATCTTCTAGGACTCAAATTATCTCATCTTTGTTTGGACTATCACAAGAGCATGAAATGGAATTGAATTCCAGAGTTACTTGGTTCATGCTCAATTTTTGGCCTAGGTTGGATTTCGCGGCTGGCGTTGCAATTTGACCATTTTTTTTTAGTTTTCAGAAGCAATCATAATTTGGTGATTGGGTATGCACAAATTAGTCTCTAGGTGAAAATGGGATGGTGGCTGAAGGAATGGGGATTTGGGTTTCAAGACTTTTTGGTGGGTTGTTTTCAATTACATGTGGGTGGTTTCAAAAGTCTGCTGGGTGGTTTTCAATTTGGGTAACAGAGAGCCGGTGACCAGCACCGGGCAAATGACTCCCACCACAAATGGTGGTGATTCTCCTCGGTTCTCCATTAAAAGGAGGGAGCATGTCATTATTTTGATCAAGTTGTTTGTTTTGCATCTGGATTTGATCAAAACCTATCGCAGCTCTTTTGTTTCTGAATCTGTTTGAGCAATGTAGAAAATGAAATAGGTAGGAGGAAAGAGGGAAAGAAAGAAAAAGAAAGAGAAACAAGAAACTGTCTTGGCAGTGGTGAAGACCAAAGGGCACCCTAGAAGATGAATGGTTGCTGATTTTTTTTATATTTTTAAATTAATTTATTAGATATTAAAGAGAATAGTGGATTTTAGTCCCAACTCCATGGAGTCCGAATCCAAAAACACTATCCTACAACGAAAATTTTGAAAAACTAACCGTTGAATTTAATGTTCTACTCATGCATGTCATGATGTCAATTTAGATTGATTGAATATATCTAACTAATTGATTGATTATACAAAATTTAACAACATTAAATACATTTTACAATTGATCAAATGATTATGGATGTTAGATCAACTTAAAAATTAGCATGTATTATTTACATAAATCAATCATTTGATCCAATGGTTGTTTTTCAAATACTAGACCTCAAGGTGTACTTTGAGCACTGCCTGTATTGGATTTGGTTAGTTGTTTACTAATTATAACTTTTTGTATTAATAATTAACTAAAAATATATGGCAAATTAGTTTTTTTTGATAATTACTAATTTTAAATGTAATAATTCATTAAAAAAAAGTTTGAATGGTAGAGATGAAAAGAGTTTTAAGCGTACAAATATAATCTTTTTAATTTTGAAAAATAAGGACAAATTTTCATATAAATGACATTTAAAAATTTAGACCAAGTACATTTTGTAATTTTTAAATTAATATCTTATTACAAATCAAGTATCACATAATATTTAAAATGTTAATAAGGATATTGTCATGGTATTTAATCATGTTTTAGAACAATATTATAATTTTTTTTTAAATCATCCAGTATATTATGGCTGTTTCTCTCCATCTCTCTTTTTATTAAATTCTAATTATTCTCTGGCTTTTTATTAAAATATTGAACTAATAAGAAAAAAAAAAAAAAAAAAAAAAAAAGACTTACATTGACACCAATATCAACTGCACCAAGAGGGCCAGTAAACTCATCCTCCCAAGAGCAACTGCGTTCCATATACAATGAAAACACAATACGATCATAGGATAAGATCGTCATTTGATCGACTTATTTATGGTTTGAGAATTAGGGTCCATTCCAACCCAATAAACAAAAGAGAAATAAGGAATTGCTCAAAGCAATAAATGAGTCAAGACTAATAAAGCAAACAAAAACCAGGGGAATAGGAAGGGCAGATGATGAAGTGTATATAAATAAATAGACATTGTAGAATAGGAAGATTTAATCTTAATTAATAAGATAACAAGTCCCATGCAAGATTTAATTGTAGTAGTTAATTATAATATTTTTTATATAATTAGACTTGTTAATTTCTTATTATGGTTGAATTGCAATACTTGATAAGGACTACCCTCTCTTTCCCAAAATAATTATTGTTTTTTGACTTTTTCTCCAGATTAAAGATTTGGGGATAATTTATGTGTTTACCTATATTACTCTTAAAAAATAAGTAAAAATAAAGAAAACATTTTGTGATTAGATGAATAATTAAAGTAAACAGATAACAATAAAGTTAAAGTAGGAAAACAAAAATTTGTCTACCTTAAAAAATGAAAAAAATGACAATTAATTTGAGACATATTCCAAGTCAAAAAAAGAGAGTTATTTTAGAACATATGAGATATTTTCAGTTTTTTTTTTTTGGGTACCCAGGAAGTTATTAATTCCCTAAATATCAACTTTCCAAAACTTAGCACCCCAGACCTATTAATTTGTTCTATATTTTATAATTATGATTAATAAGAAGAATAAAATAGGAAGAAAGAGGAGACCAATTTCGTGACATAACCACCACATCTACAGTTATTAGTCTATAGGTCCCACACCCCTTCTAAAATTATAGATTGAATTATTTTTCTATTCTATATTAGTTTCCTAATTTGTGGGCCCCCACACACCTTATGTTAGGTTTGAACTGACTCTTTAATATGTATTTTAAAGAAAAAAAAAAAAAACCCAATGAGTATTTATTGGGAATTTTTTTTAAAACCATTTGGCATTTATTGAGGATTTTTTTAAAAACTCATTAGGTATTTATTTGAGAATTTTAGGAGAAATTTTGTTGTTACAACAATTTTGTATATAGTTAAAATAAGATACGATTCATTGGAGTATGATGTTTTTGAATTTGGACCCCATGAAGTTGGGACTAATATGCATTATTCTCAATATTTAATTAATAAACTAAGTTTGAACCAACCCTATTTGGTTTGAGGGAAACATGGGAGAAGAGAGGAGGGAAATGGAAGGTTCCTCCCCTCCCCACCCCGAGTTTGGTTAGATCAAAATACAAATAATAATAATAATAATAATAATAATAATAATAATAAAATCAAGCAAAATAAGGGAAATCCCCTCCCCTCTGTTCCCTCTAACCAAATAAACTATAATGGTGACTTTAATTTATTAAAATTGATTATTATACAATTTTAATTAATTTTAAGCTACAAAACCATTTTGCCCTTTCATTTCTTTAATATATAGAAGGGTAAAAAAGTAATTAAAACTGTTTTTGCAGGCATGGAATGCCACATAAGACACAGCAAACTGCATGATAACAGATTTAACAGAAGTTATTTGAGGATCTCAAATTCTCAATGAGTTTGGGACTATAATTGAGCACAATAAAACATTGAGACTCTAATTGCGAATTCGGTGAAAGTTTGCGAATGCATTAGTGCATTATGCCTTATTAAATTTAGCCCCTGCCAAACAGTTGCAGAATAAAACAAAAATTCTTCATCAAAACATTTCTTCATTGAATGAGAGAGCATTGAAAAATATCTATTAGAAGTACCAACAAGAGCTTAGCCAATATGGTTTATACCCTCTAACTTCAAACCTTTAGGGCTTGTTTGGTAGAGGGCCAACTTTACCAGGAAAGTTTTTCCTAGGAAAGTGCTTAGCAAAGTACTGTACGGAAAGTTAATAAGTCTGTGGTGAAGTTTTGTTGGAATTTTGTTGAGTTGCTAACTTTTCTGTGCTAAATAAGAAATTGCTATAGGGAAAGTTGGTAGGAAAGTTGTCAAGTGGGTCTTACATAGGGAAAGTTGAGAGGAAACTTTTTCCCTTAAAAAGTGCAGGAAGAAAAGTATGCAAGTTGAGAATTATGTCAGGAAAAATAAAAATATTACCTTTTTTACCCTCCTTTTGTTGTAATACTATACATGAAAATACGCAAATAACCTTGTAAGGGGGAAAGTTTAGAAAACTTTAGGGAGGAAAGTTTCCCTCCAACCAAACACCCCCTTAATTTGGGTTCAGGGTCATGGGTTCAAATCCCTCCACTAGATGATCAGATTTCTTTGAGGCAACAAGAAAGCTAAATAATGCCTAATCATGCATAAAGAGCATTTTGGCAAAATGAAACACGTAATCCCCCTTCCCTAAATCCAGACGAATTCAGAGTTCAAATAGAAATATTAACAAAGAAAAGAAAACAGCATTCCCTATCATTCCAAAAAGCACAGAAACAACAAGCAAATTGAAGAGGTAAAAATCGCTATCAATATAAAATTTTCAAAAAGCAACATACCATTATAACCAGCTAAGATGCAAGGGTTGCTGGAATCTTTAGAGATCTTCAAAATTTCTGCTCGGGCTGCTAATAAGCCATAGTGCAAGTAACTGCATGCAAAACATGCAAAAATCATGTTCGTAGAAATACAAAGTTTCTAAATTAAGTTTCTTAATACTACATCGCACAAGAAAACTTAAAGAATCATTCGGAACTAATTGGTTGCTAAAATGAATCATGCCATTAAGTGGTCTTTTTTCAATACTACCTGTGAACATAAAGGTAGTATCTTGTTCCCTTTAGATACATCTCCTTTACAAAAGCGTCTTCTCCATCTGATACCTTGGGAGCCTTAGCTGCATCTGCCTCAGCGATTGCATATGCCATTTGAACAGACCCACCACCAAGATCAACTACTCCAACTGTATTGGAGTATGACTTCCCCAAATTCCTTAACAGGTAATTTATTGTTACCTGCAGAAAAAGAGGCAAGTTAAAAAGGAT